TATATATATATACCTTTCCAATTTGGTGGTAAACTGTTAGAAGAGTTGACAGTGAGTAGTTCTTGAATTCGTATTTTTCTCTATTCTTAACACTCTGCATATATGCTGAGTATATACTCAAGATTTTTTTTTGTTACACACTGTCAAGTTGAGTACAAGTTAGTGACCCTGTGAACAAAAGATCTGAACCTCATTCTGTAACTATCCTCATTTCTCTGGTGTTGATAGGATGTTATTCCCCTCCGCCACTCTATTTTTATTTTCTGTTGGTCTGCATACAAAATTCATATACTTATGTGTCATTCATGTATATTGCATTTCACACCTTGTGTTTAAAATGATCACTCATATACACTGTGTAATTAGGAAAGATCTGATGAGGATCTGAATAGATGGAGTAATAGTAAGCATAGATCAGTGGTGATTAGTTTTATAAAACACAATGTATATGTGTGATAATTTCATAGGGTTTTCAAAGGCCTGTTATTTAAGAAGTGGATGTCAGTCCTACTTCCAAGTCTGTTTTAATCTGGAAGCTCTATCAAACCCTGTCCACCATGGGTAATCCTTATGACATTTGATACACCGGTGGCACAGCTGAAAGATACTGAAAGTATCACAACACTTTCAAGTTATTTCAGTACAGCACACTGACAGACCAGTGCTGTACCACTTAGAACAGTGTTCTCACCAAACACAAATAATACAAAATCCAACTGTTTCACACTAGAGACGCTTAGTCAGGGCCCAGCTGACTTTTAAATACAAAGGTCTGCCCACCAGGTCCTGATTGATTTAAACAAGAAACTTTCAGCCCACAACTGATTGTTAACTAAATCCAAATGAACAGTCAGCTTACACTCGATTGTTAATGAAATAAAAAAATGACCAGTTAAACGACTTTCAGTTAAATAACCTGACCTCCAGAATCCACTGCTTCATATTGGAGACATATATTCAAGATACCATGGTTAAAAAAACCATGAATTCATAATTGGAACACACTTTTGAGTATTTGTGTGAATAATTAACTAACCAGTACTCCTTGTGGTTCTTAAATTCATGACTTTGATGATTAAAAACATGCTTTGTGTTAACATACATCAGTGATATTTAAAGTCTGGTATTTGGTTTTTGAAATGATTATGAAAATATTCAGGTATTTACCAAAGAAGATAATAGGATATTGAAACCTCATTCATTTGTTACCCAGTTTCTGCAATTAACACATAGTTTTTAGTTAGATTTTACTCCTACCACTATACTTTGAAGTTTAGTAGTTAAGGAGTTGTACTACCAGCCCACAAGCAGGCACTTTGAATTCACTAGCAGCTCCATGGTAGAGAAAGGCTTCTTTCTTGTGTGATTAACAGTTTCTGAAAACCTCCTGTAGGGTTAGCTATGCGTTGTTTGAGGTTGATGGCAGTGACACACACACACACACACACACACACACACACACACACACATCTGTACTGACTTTAAAAAGATAATTTTAAGAAATAATTTTTTGTTTATAAATATTTACAAATTGAGGTCTGGTGGCTTAGTGGTGAAAAGCTGTGCTGCAATCCCAAAGGCACATGGTTTGAATGTACCTGCATCTCTGCAGGAGGAGGATGATAGTCTCCTACTGTGCAACATGCTGCTTCTGAATATCCCCTCGGGGTCCACTATGAGTTGTTCCAATTTTATGACAACAACAACAACAAATATTTACATATGTGTCACTTTTTAAGGAAATACAACTACCTGGCCAACTAACTAGAAGAAATCCATGTTTGTTTCCATTTCCAAAAAGTGATTTAACAGAATGTGGAAATTATAAAACAAAATCATTAGTAGTACATGCAAGTAGATTATTGCTGCAGATTATTTAAAAGTGTCTGGAAAAGTACATCCACAGGACTGCCAGAAATTAAAGCTGAATTTAGGATAGGCCATGGCACAAGAGATATCACTGCTAACATGATCTTGACTGAAAGCAAAGACTAGTAAAAAGATGGTTTTATGATTATGCACAGGCATTTGACTGTGTATATCATAACAAACTATGACTAACATTTAAGTCTCAAAGCACTTAATTGTGCTTGTGGAACTTGTACATACATAGCACAAACAGCCAAGAGAATATTGCATGGTTTAAAATAGAAAAGGTTGTGTATCAGAGTTACATCCTTACTCCATACCTATTGTGTTTTCTGAACAAATCATTCAAGAAACTGGCTTCTATGGAGAAGAGTCGGGTATCAGGGTTGGAGAAAGACTGATTAACAACCTGTTATGTAGATGACACAACCTTGCGTGGAGAAAGTAAAACTTGAAGCACTTACTGCAGAAGATCAAAAAAAGACTGCAGCTTTCAATAGGGGTTACATCTCAACATCAAGAATACAAAATCTTTATTTTTCGGTAACATTATGATGGATGGAGAAAAGATTGAAGTTGTCTTTTATAAAATTTTGTTTGGATCCACAATCAACACCCATAGTAGCAGAAATCAAGAAATCAAAAATGTTGCATTCAGAAAATTTGCCGTCCTCCTCCAGAGTGTTAAAAAGGAATGAAGTTGTTCTCCCCAGGACAGAACAAGTTTCAGATCTGTTTTGTATAGGGTTGCTGTTAGTCATAGTCGACTTAGTTGCAACTAACAATAGCAACAACAGCCACAATGCCATAATTGCAACTAATGAATGCAGTGAAATATCTAGTCAGTTTTCCGACTTTACCTTTTGTCTCATACATATTATTTTTTAAGCTGATTTGTTGCAGTTAGAATTCAACCAAATCTACATTTGTTTTTGGTTGATTGATCTCTTAATTTATAGGCTACTATTTTCTCTTCCTTATTTTCCGTGTTTTTCCTAAACTCTGTAATTTGTCTTGCATAATTTTTTTATATTTTGAGTTTTTTTGGATAATGTCCAGGTGATGTTAACAATTTCTTTTCTTCCTTCTGTTTTCTGTGAATTCATAATCTGACTTTTGCTACAAATATTCTATAGGTGGTAATATAAAATCCTTTTCTATCCCATCATATCTTATTATAGCTCTTTTGCATACTGGTTTATAATAATGATTAATGGTTCCAAGTAGTGTCATCAAGTACATTTAGTGTAAAGATGTCCATCAGATTTATATCCATTGATTTTAACAACCATTTATAATAATTTTCTAGATCCAGTAATGTGTTTGTATAGCAAAGAATGAGGCTCTAAAACAGCTGACATGTAGTATTTGCTTCATTTAGTTAGTAAATCCAGAAACAAAGTATAATATTATTGACTGATAGCAATTATTGCTTTACTAGTAGCAAATATATTTCTCTGATGGATTCCAACTTTCTACTGTACTGTTCAGTTTCCTCTGAGTATATTTCTTTATAGCACTTTGTGTTTACAGTTTTGTAGATTGTGGCTTTTCTTTTTAACTTAAGATCTAGTAAAAATAGCAAGAAAAAGAAGAAACAGATTTTATACCTTTTTATTACAGAAATCACTTCTCAAGAAGTTCTGTTGCTACTGGTGGGCAGAAAGGAAAATCTTACTATACAATTACATTCACTGTCAGTTTTCCACATAAGGATGATGTTTGCTACTTTGCTTATCACTATCCATATACATATTCAACTCTGCAGGTAAAAGACTAATTTAATTATGAATTGAAGAAAACCTACTTTTAATTAAATATCTTGTTTATATAAAATTTTTTATTTTAATTTTTATTTTAACGAAAGTTTATAGAAACGTTAAATTTTTTCATTCGTTTATTGTTACACTTTTATTCCCCTATACTTCCTCCCCCGGTTCAATTTTTAAAAAAAATAGTCATTCATTTTTGCGCAGTTAACTCCCACCCTCCATCCCTGCCTTCTCCCTAGTCCTCTTTGCAATGTATCTATTATTCTAGGCTGGTTTTGTATGTATAATGCCTAATCATATATTCCTTTTTAACAGTTCTTTCCTTCCTCTGTTCCAAAGCAGTGTTCATTATCTATCTACTCTTATTCTATTCTCCCAATTCCCTATGTCAGACCTGCTTTATAACAGTCATGCTATGCAGTATTTATTCTTTTGTGACTGATCAATTAAATACCATTTTTTTAAATAAAATTTTTACTTTATACTGGTTTACTTGCCAAGTTCGTATACATTGTTTTACACACTGTATCTTTCCCATTTCTTTTACCTACCCTCCCTTCACCCATCAACTTGTGCTTAGATTCCCTGCCCCATCCTCTCCCCTCTGCTACCCCTCCTGGGATCCTCATACATATTTTACTAGTTAACTTTCTATTTCTGCAACAATGGTCTTATATCACTACCTAATTTGGGAGAGATTAGGTCAATTAAATAGCTTAAGAAATAAAAAAGATCATTTTTTTTAGAAAATACTACATTATTTCTTGAAAAAATTAAAGGGAATAAAATGGAAATGTGATCCTTTTTACTTAATAGAAGTTTTAAAGAAATAAGAAAGTTTTACTTTTCTGTAGAAATCTTAAATTATTTCGATTTTTACTAATTTTAAATGTAAGGCATCTACTTGTTTAACTGAAAGTGTTGAATCTTACAGAAAATCAGAGTGGAAATCCCAGGTGTATTTTGAGGTTTTCGCTTGGAAAATTTGCGTTATAAAGACTTCTGGTGGGATTGCAGACTAGTCAGACTAGGAGATCTGCCTCTCTCCTATAGGGTTACAAAAGGGAGGTCAAGCCTACTCATGTACTAAATCAAGTACCACAAAGTTGGGGGTGGGAGAGTACTAAGAGATAAGTCAGACACAAAAGGAAGTGGAGGTGTGTGTGAGGACCAAATAAGTAGAAACACACAATGCCACAAGATACCTGGCCTGCCTGGGCTTGGGTCCCACAAAAGGAGAAAAAAGCCAGGGGGAAACTCCAAAGGACTGAGCCTACTAACGTTGGAACACCACTAGGCAGAATACAAGATCAAATCTCCTTGTTGCCCACTGATGGCAGAACGGGTAGGACAAGCAGTTCTAAGGATTCTGGGCATAGCCCTTTCTCCACAGTAGGCAGGCCATTACCATCTTGAGCCTGGTAAAAGAGGCTTCAGTAAAGCCTTTTTGGACTTTGCCTCCAAGGCCGGTGCATATGCCAGAGGTGGAGATTTGAATATGATAGAAGGAGTAGCCTTATAAGGTAAAAGCTATACCTATTGCCTTCACCTGGTACTGCCTCGCTATATCCTAACACATTCACACCTCCCAATCCACCTAAATGAGTAGATAATGTTTGGAACAATATGTCAACAGAGAACTGCCAGACGTGCAGGCTGGATTTAGAAGAGGTAGCGGTACTAGGGATATTATAGCTAATGTAAGATGGATCTTGACAGAAAGCAAAGAATACCAGAAGAATGTATTATCTGTGCTTCATTGACTGTGCAAAGGCTTTTGACTGTGTGGATCACAACAAGCTGTGGCTGACTCTGAGAAGAATGGGAATCCCAGAACATTTGATTGTGCTAATGTGAAACCTATACTTGGACCAAGAGGCAGTCATCAGAACAGAGTAGGGAGACACTGGATGGTTCAAAATCAAGAAAGGGGTCCGTCAGGGATGCATTTTGTCTCCATACCTTTTCAATCTGTATGCAGAACAGATCATCCGAGACACTGGGCTGTACGAGGAGGAATGTGGCATCAGGATTGGTGGAAGAATCGTCAACAACCTGCTTTATGCAGATGACACAACCTTGCCAGCTGAAACTGAGGAGGACCTGAAGCGCTTGCTGCAGAAGGTCAAGGACTGCAGTCTTCAATATGGATTGAAGCTCAACATCAAGAAGACAAAGATTCTCACCACTGGGCCAATTGGCAGCACCAGTATGGATGGTGAAGAGATTGAGATAGTTAACAGTTTTAGTTTGCTTAGCTCCACAGTCAACACTCTTGGTAACAGCAGCCAGGAAATCAGGAGAAGAATTGCATTGGGAAAGTCAGCTGTGAGGGACCTCTCAAGAGTACTGAAGTGCAACGACGTCAGGTTGGAGACTAAGGTGCACCTGATCCAGGCTATAGTCTTTGCAATTATGTGCTATGCATCGGAGAGTTGGACAGTGAATAGGGATGGTAGAGAATTGATGCCTTTGAGTTGCGGTGCTGGAGAAGAGTGTTGAATATACTATGGACTGCTAGGAGAACAAATAGGTTTATCCTGGAGAGGGTGAAGCCAGAATGTTTCCTGGAGTCAAGGATTCTGAAGCTTTGTCTGACATACTTTGGGCATGTTGCAAGAAGGGACTGGTCCTGGGAGAGGGACATCATGTTTGGGAGAGTGGAGGGATGGCGCAGGAGAGGAAGACCCTCGATGAGATGGATCAATTCTTTGAGTGGAGTGGTGGGAATGATTGTGTTTGAGACAGAGAGATTGGTATAGGATAGAACGGTGTTTAGGGCTCTTGTACATAGGGTCACTATGAGTCGCAAACAACTCGATGGCACATAACAACAACAACAACAACCAGAGTAGTACAGAAGCCCATGCTATACCTACTGCTAGCATATAGCATACTAGTTAATAGTCTGGCTGGTTCCTGACACTCCACCTCACAGTCTTCCCTACAGCTGTTCAAACTGAACCTCAGCCAGCATGAGTGAACTACATCCACCTGAGGCCATAGAAAATTTTAAAAATTTAAATAAATTAAATAAAATTTAAAGGCACAGTGTTGTTGTTAAGTTGTCTTTCCAGCCAGAACCAATTCACAGCAGCAAAGAAATTATAGAGGCTATGGATCTTGTGGGAGGAAATTGCCTTTGTTTTTATTCAGAGTGCTTACTGAATTCAGTCTGCCTGCTATTGGGCTGATAGGGCAGCTCCTTCCTACTTGGCCCATCAGAGCCCCATGAAGGTGCAGTACATAGGATATTCCTGAACAGAGGAGAGACTCCATTACACAGAGTGTCCATGATCCACAGAGAGTCAGGGATTCAGAAATTTAGTGACCCAGGGAGCAGACAAATAAAGATTCCTTCTGCCAAGGGCAGCAGGAAAAGGTAACACCAATGTCTTCAGTGGGCATGTTCCTGTAGGACCCTCATTATGGACCCTATAACACACCAGACTAGAATGCCTGCATATTCTATCAGATTAAGGTTCAGCATGTTCAGCATTCACCTGTCTAGCATTACAAGTCAGTCACCATCAACTATCACATTTTCCCCAAACAACATTATTGCACATATAATTACACAGGCACCCTGTTGGGCCAAAAGGAAGAAGTTAAAGACAGAATCTACAACAATACCACAGTGTCCCAGAAGCAGTGGACAACTCCAACACCTTCTTCCCACAAAACATTGTATCACCAAAATGATCAAAACACTGAACCAGCAGATCTCCTGTAGAAGAATGACTGACGGAACTCTCTAAAAGGAAATTAAGAATTATCATCAAGAGGAATTGAAAGAATTCACAAGTAAAACTCTAGGAGGATTTAAAATCAGAACAAGATAATCCAATATCATAAAAGAACCCATAGAAAACAAGAAACTACAACCCAAAATAGTAAGACCAACATTTCAGAAGCTGTCAAGATGGAGAGATGGAAGACCAGAATTAAAGAGCATAGAATCAGTGAAGAAGGAGTTAGAGCCCATAGCACTGATCTATGAGAGAAAAAACCCAGAAACATGAAGGAAAATGAAGAAAACATTACAGTTATGTGGGGATATCATCATAAAGAGGAGTAACATACATGTAACTGGATATCAGTTCAGGAAAAAGCAAATGTACGCACCAAGAAAATTGTGGAAGAATGATTAGAAGAAAAATTTACAGATATCATTAACAAATTACATTTAAGAAGCTGTAGTTAGTTCTTTCTCTCCTTTTCTGCTGACAGCATACTGGAAGGCTTATGTCCATACTTGTCTTTCCAGGGGTCCTGCACACTATTTCCCTCTTTCATTTTAACTCTTTTTGTGTGGCCTTTCACTAGCTATGTATCTGCCTTATTACCCTAATAAAACTTTTCTACTGGTTTTGAGGAAGGAAGGAAGGAAGGAAGGAAGGAAGGAAGGAAGGAAGGAAGGAAGGAAGGAAGGAAGGAAGGAAGGAAGGAAGGAAGGAAGGAAGGAAGGGGGAGGGAGGGAGGGAGGGAAGGAAGGAAGGAAGGAGAGAAAGGAAAGGAAGGAAGGAAGAAAGAAAGTGGAGTGAACGGTAAACAGGATAGACTGAAAAAAAAAGCAAACCAACTAATACATACTCTTTATAATCAGAGAAAAGGAGAGAATTCTGAAAGCAGAGAAAAATGAAGAGTTACCTACAAAAGAGAATGAATGAGGTTAAGCTCTGATTTCTCAGCAGAAAGCATGCGAGCAGAAGAAAAGAGAGAGGATGCTGACAGAAAATAACTGGCAGGTGACAATCCTGTTCCAACAAACCATTCAAAAAATATAATAGAGAAATTTGCTCATTCTAAGAAGAAACTAAGGGAAATTGTAAAAACAAGACCAACTTTGTAAGAAATACTTCATATTGTAAGAAGTTCTTCATATCAAGATGGCACAGAAAAGTGAATGGATCAAAGTAACCAGAAATGACACATAAAAGAAGCCAAGAAAATGACAGTAATAAATCCTTGTCTTTAAATAATCATACTGAATGTGTATGGTTTAAATGTACCAGTTAAGAAGTAGAAGAGTAAAAAAGTAGGAGAGTAGAAAAGTTAAAAGAGTGTATTAAAACCCAAAACCCGTAAATACACTTTCTGTAAGAGACACACCTGAGAAACAAGGATAAAGAGAGACTAAAAATCAAAGAAAAAAAAAAACCAAACACCCCAAAATAAGCAGTGGGAACAACAAAATAATCATAACAATATTAATATGGTAAAATGACTTCAAATTAAAAGCCAGCATATGAGTCAAGGAAGGATACTGTGTACTGCTGAAAGAAAGGGTCAGTAGTGGAAAGAGAACATAACCTTAATTGACACCAATGCACCAAATGATAGAGCTGTAAAATACATAAAACAAATGTTTATAAACTTGAAGAAATGGACAACTGCACATAATAGCAGGAAACTTCAAATACCACTCTTGACTGTCTTTCTCCCTGGAGCCTCTGACGGCCTGGAACTACATGCCTTTGGGATTGCAGCACAGCTTTTTGATACCAGGCCACAAAAGCTCCTTGTTACCACTCTTAGGATTCATAGTGACCCTATGTACAATAGCTCTGAATCCTGCCCTATCCTGAGCCAGTCTCACTGACTCCAACACTCCTAATCTCATTGTCCCAAGTATTGTGTGAATCCATCTCATCTGGGATCTTCCTCTCCTGCACTGTCCCTCCATCCTTCCAAGCAGGATGTCCTTCTCCAAGGACGGGTCCCTTCTGACCACATGCCCAACATATGTGAGATGGAGTTTCAAAATCCTAGCCTCCAAGGAGACACTTGGTTTCACACACTCTAAGACAAACCTGTTTTTTTCTCCTGGTGTTTCATATTCAATGCTCCTTCTGAACTACAACTCAAAAGCATCAGTTCTTCTGGCATCATTAGTCATTGTTCAGCTCATTGATGTATAGTACGTAATTGCGAAGACCATGGTCTGGATCAGGTACACTTTAGTCATTCCTTAGACTATCCCTTAGATTGTTAAAAGACTTCCATCTCAGGAATAAGTTTAAGGCATTGAATACTAGTAATCTGAACACCAGATGAGTTGTTGGATAAGAAAGAAAGCAAGAGGTCATTAAAAACATAGGGGAGGAGTATATAAATTGCAGTAGAATGGTGAGAAGCAAAAAAAGAAAAAGTAAGATATGCGAAAGTAAGAGATGAACAGACAATTTCCAAGAATAGCTCAAAAATACAGAGTACATAGATTGTTGTTATATGTGCTGTTTATGGAGAGGAAGACTCTTAATTCTGAAAATGGCATTTCATTAAAAGCAATCTGTGGCTTTGATGCAATCCCAATGCCATTCTTCAAGGAGATGGAAAAGGCAGTTTCCAGTAACCAATTTAGGCAAACATTGAGAAGAATGGAAATCAGAGAACACATAATTGTGCTCATGAGAAACCAATAGCTAGACCAAGAGACTTTTGTGCAAAATAACAAGGGAACAAATGCTTCATGGTTTAAAATTAATCATGGAGTGTATCCAGGTTGAATCCTTTCACCATACCTATTCAGTTTGAGAAGCAGAACTCTATGAAGAATGTGCCATCAAGAGTGTGGAGGAGGACTCATCAGTAACTTGTGTTATGCAGATGACACATTTCTGTTTGCTAAAAATGAGGTAGACTTGAAGATCAAAGACTATAGCCTTCAATATAGATTGCATCTTAATGTCAAGAAAACAAAAATTCTTAGAACTGGACTGGTAGGCAACATCATGATAGATAGATAAAAGATTGAAACTGTCAACAACTTCATTTTACTTGAATTCACCATCAGTACCCTTGGTGCCAGCAGTCCGAAGATCAGAAGTCGTATTACACTGGAAAATAAGCAGTGACCTCCCCTAATTATTGAGCAGCAGTGATGTTAGTTTGTGGACTAATGTCTTTTCATTCATTTGCTATGTATGTGAGAGCTGTACAGTGAATAAGAATTGATACCTTTGAGCTGTGGTGTTGGACAAGAGTACTGAGTATCTTATGGACTACCAAAAGAATAAACAGTTGTATCTTAGAGAGGGTGCATCCAGAGGGCCCTTTGGAGGCAAAGGTAATAAAGCTTTGTCTCACATACTTTGGGCATATTGCTAGGAGAAGTTGTTCCTTTGAGAAGGGCATCATGTTTGGAAAGGTCAGTGAAAGAGAAGATGACCCTCAACCAGGACTGACACAGTCACTATAGCACTGGGCTCAAATATGTTAGAGATGATGAAGATGGCAAAGGATAGGACAGGGTTCAGATCTGTTGTTTATAGGTTTGCTACGACTCACGTTTGACTAATTGGCACCTAACAAATCTGAAAAACAAAGACTCAGCAAAGCTCTACTGAAAAAGAAAATGTTGGGACCATCACACTCCCTAATCTAAAAAACTACTACATAGCTGTAGTAATCAAAACAATTTGTTAATGGTATGGTGACAGATGCATAGATCAATGGAATAGAATTGAGACCCAGAAATCAGCCCATCTACCTAGCCCATCTTTGAGAAAGAGATGAAATTAATTAAGTGGGGAACAAAAGCCTTTTTAACAAATGTGTACTATCGAGCTGGCCCTGCAGTAGGGTTGTTGTTGTATACCATTGGGTCAGAATTTACCCTTAGCTGATGCTCTAGTGGGTTTTCAGAGGCAGTAAATGGCATCAGGGGAAATTATCCATCTTTCTTCCACAAAGCAGTTTGTAGATTTGAACCGTGTACCTTTGTGGTTGTAGTGCAGCTACTACTAGGCCACAGAGCACCCTCTTTAATAAACAGTGCTGGCAACAAACCTTGCAAGATGCACATCTCAAAAAACAAACAAACAAACAAAAGAAAAACCCAACCAAAAAACCAACAAAACAAAACCTGAAGGAGGATCAGAGAACTAGAGAGAAGACCAAAATCTATAAAAATCATCAGAGAAAAATAAAATCAGAACAAATTTAGAAGCCCTAGTTTATTATGGCTTTAGTAGAACTTCAGACATAACCAAAAATCTACAACCAGAAAAGCATCATAAGTGAATAAGACCTTCTAGAATAAAATATTTGTATGTACTAAAAAACTCCAGTAGGGTACAAAGAAAGCTTCTAGTCTCAGAAAAACCATATTCAGCAATCTGACAAGGGACTTATCTAAAATTTATAGAGTATTATAACACCTCAACAAGCTAAAGACAACCCAGTTACAAAATGGGCATATGATATTAAAAGACTTCACCAAAGAAGATAGCTAAATGACCAACAAACACATGAAGAAATGCTCAAGATCACTAGCTGTTAGATGCAAATCTGGAGATATCATCTCACCCAAGCAACAGTAACAAAGTTGAACAGGACAGCAAACAATAAATGTTGGCCAGGATGCCAAGAGGCTAGTGGGTATGTAAAATGGTGTGATCATAATGGAAGGCAATCAGGCAACTCCTCATAAAGTTGAAAATAGAAAAACTATTTGATCCATATTTTTCATTACTGGGAATATACTATCAGGAAATAAGAGCTGCAACACAAATAAATGTATGCACATCTATATTTTTGCAGCCTTATTCACAAATAGAGAGATTGAGATAGTCCAAGTACACATCAACAAACAAATGGATAGAGACACTGGTACATTCACACAAGAGAGTATTATGCAGCATTGAAAACAATGAGAAACTCGTGAAACTACACAACATAGAGAAAGCTAGAGGATATTATGTTGAGTGAAATACTGATGTAAAATTGCATTATACAATCCTGGATCCAGATTTTTTAGAATAATGAGTATAAAATCTAGTATATGGATTTTTCTGAGATTTTATGAATAGTACATTGTCAAATAACATGTTGCCACAGTTGTCTACTTTAGTTTTTACTAACCTCAGAAATTATAAGTTGTGGTACATGTAGTCTCAGAACAGAATGTCTTAATTGTTGTAATAGAAATCATGAACATTTGATCAGTTTACCTGTATAGAAATTAGAGAAGTACCATGATTTTAAAAACAAGTTTCCAAATTATTGTTATATATGGTGAAGTCTAAACTGACTCATAGCTGACCCTCCAGTGGATTTTCAAAGGCAAGAAATTACATGGGAAGAAATTGTCCATCTGTCTCCTTGGGAGCACCTGGTAGATTCTAATCACATGTCTTTAGGTATTAAGGAGGGAGAAAATGAAAGAAAAACATGGTTCTTAGACAGAAAATATATCAAAGCAGAGAATACTTAGTAAGGAAAAATATTTTTTTATTTTTACTGTGGTTATCTATTTTGGAGGTATGATTGTCAGTTATGTTTCTGTGCTAAATAACAGCATCAGAAAATACACTTATTGACTTAATAGTTCTGACTTTGAGTAATTTATCTGAGGAAAATAATTACATGTGAAATCTACCTTAAGCATTGTTTTGGTTTATTTATTTATTTATTTATTTATTTATTTTTACCTTAAGCATTGTTATTGCAAAGTTGTACATAAATGAGGGAGCTCTGATGGCATAGGCTGTAGGCAGTTGTGCTGCCAATCCAAATGCCACATCTCTCTGGTGTTCAAAAACCTGAACTAATAAGAGCTTATTTAGAATATTGGTTCCCTTAGGACGATTCTTCAGAGATTTAGCAGTGATAATAATAGCTTGTTACGGTGATGATAACAGGGTAATGTCTCTGATCCTTTCTCTGATCCTTTTGATGGTATTTCACAGTGAATGCTCCATCATTTTTCTTACATTCCCCAAATTTATTACATTCGAAGTACATCTGGTCCTGAGTGTTTCAGGTAAGGAATTATATATCTGATCCACTTTAGGTAATATGAAATGGGAATGTGTTACTTGTATATATGTCATTGGGGGGATTTTAAATTACTGTATACTTTGTTTTAAAATTTTTATCAAGATGCATCTTCAAAAATTGGAGTCTTCACACAATCCTCAACAAATCTACTTTCGAAAAGATGTTTTGTGTGAGACTTTGTCTGGAAACAACTGTCCCGTGGTGACTATAACGGCAATGCCAGAGTCGAATTATTATGAACATATCTGTCAATTCAGTAAGTCTGTCTTCACTCAAAAAGGCAATAATGCTCACTTGATTTTTCTTTTTGATCTATTATTCATACTGCAAATGATATCTAGAAAAATGTGAATTCTGGTTTTAGTCCTGTTACTGTCCCACTGTAACTCTCAATTTATTCTTTCTGAAGAGCAGGGAGCCAAATCTGGTGATCTCCAAGGTCTCTTGATACAGATATTCCCTAGTTCTTATACAAAAAAATTACCATCCAAGTTTAATACAATATTAATTTAAGAGTTTGTATAATACTACGAGTTTTTAAATTAACAAGTAATGTTAATTGTAACAAGGGCCTATCATAAACCTATCAAAGGTTTTGATAGCTGATAATGAATAGCGACTTGTTTCTCACTGCTACTTATATTTTAGGGAGCTCTGGTAGCATAATGGTTAAGGAGTTATACTGCCAACCCAAAGGCAGGAGTTAAATCCACCAGTGGTTCTGCAGGAGCAAGATGGGCAGTTTCTGTTTGATTTACAGCCTTGAAAACTTGCTAGAGGGTCTGCTGTTTGATTTACAGCCTTGAAAACTTGCTGGAGGGTCAGCTGAGAGTCTTTCTGACACACTAGCAAGAAGTTATTGAGTTGGCTTATTTTAAAAATTGCTTGGAATGTATAGCTATGGTAGTAAAAATAAGAAAACTTGTAATTTTGATATAAGGTGCTTTTGGGGCAAGTGTGAGTGATCTAAATGGTTATTTTATATCTATATCTAAATGTAAAATATTTAATTTCCAAATTTTTTTTTAAATTTTATTTTATTATTTTTGTGTGAGTGTACCGTCAAATCAGATCTGACTGGTACAGGACGAGATTGTCCCTCCTTCCCTGGCAGAGCATCTGGTGGATTCAAACCGTGCGCCTCTGAGATTGTAGTTGCAGCTCCTTGCCACTAGGCCACCAGTTGTTGTTGTTATGTGCCGTCGAGTCGTTTTCGACTCATAGTGACCCTGTGCACAACAGCCCTAAACCCTGCTCTATCCTGCGCCAACCGCACTGCCTCTGACACACCCATCCCGATTACCCCAGTCACCGAATCAATCCATCTCATAGAGGGTCTTCCCCTCCTGCACTGTCCCTCCACCCTCCTAAGCATGATGTCCCTCTCCAAGGACCCATCCCTCCTGGCAACATGTCCAAAGTATGTCAGATGAAGCCCCAGAATCCTTGCCTCCGAGGAGTAGCTTGGTTTAATCCTCTCCAAGATGAGTCTGTTTTCCTGGCAGTCCATGGTACATTCAGTACTCTTCTCCAGCAGAACAGCTCAAAAGCATCCACTCTCCTTCTGTCCTCCCTAGTCATTGTCCAACTCTCTGATGCATAACAAGCGATTGCAAATACCATGGCCTGTATCAGGCGCACCTTAGTCTCCAGAGAGACACCGTTGTTCCTGAGTACTTTAGAGAGGTCCCTAACAGCAGACTTTCCCATCGCGATACACTTTTTGATTTCCTGACTGCTGGTGCCAAGAGTGTTGTCTGTGGAGCCGAGCAAACTGAAGCTCTGAACAATCTCAATCTCTTCGTCATCCATCCTGACGCTGCCAATTGGTCCAGTGGTGAGAATCTTTGTCTTCTTGACATTGAGCCTTAGTCCATACTGAAGGCTGCAGTCCTTGACCCTTCGCAGCAAGTGCATGAGGTCCTCCTCAGTTTCAGCAAGCAGGGTTGTTTCATCTGCATAACACAGATTGTTAATAGATCTTCCACCAATCCTGATGCCACAATTCTCCTCATAGAGCCCAGCCTCTCGGATAATCTGCTCTGCATACATGTTGAAAAGGTATGGAGACAGGATGCCTCCCTGGCGTACACCCTTCCCAATTTTGAACCATGCAGTGTTACCCTGCTCTGTTCTGACTACTGCCTCTTGGTTCAAGTATAGGTTTCGCATTAGCACAATTAAATGTTCTGGGATTCCCATTCTTCTCAGAGTCAGCCACAGTTTGTTATGATCCAGAGCTCCCCTTAATTTCCAAATTTTAATGAGATATGCTTTCCCTCTCTATACTTAATATAATGAGTATAAAATATGAATAGGATTATATTTTCCTTCTTTCTCTTATGATTTTATAAAAGATAATTTTATATTTAACACTTTCCCAACTATTTGTTCTTTTTTAAAGAACTAGTTTTACATGTTAGATTAATAATTGAGAAATAAATAAGTGAATTGTATAGTAGCAAAGTACTGTCCTCTTGAGTTATGTTTATTTTATGGTGTTCTTCAAGACATTGCTTTCATATTAGTTTCCTCTACAGAAGACTAGTGCAATGCTTGTATAAATGGATTCACTGTGAGTTCTGTTAGGAATTTGTCAGAATTTTTAGTTAAGTAGAAACATTTTTAAAGCCCTAAAGTAGATACCATACAAACTTTTAGTATTTGTTCATTTTAATTTGAGATTTTATGTGTACTTTAGGAAATCGCCCTTATATTTTCTTATCTGCTCGTGTACATCCTGGAGAAACTAATGCAAGTTGGGTTATGAAAGGAACATTGGAGTATCTCATGAGTAATAACCCTACTGCTCAGAGTTTACGAGAATCTTTTATTTTTAAAATTGTCCCTATGCTAAATCCAGATGGTGTCATCAATGGAAAGTAAGTTAAGAAATAATTAACTAGTACTATTATAAAGTGTTGTGGCTATTCTAGGTAAACTTATTAAAATAAAAACACTCGAGTTAATTTGGAAAGCAAACCTTTTGATTTTTCTAACAAAGGAATTTTTGATAGGACATTCATCTAAAGTACATTTGTAGATGAAAATATTTTGAAGAATTTCATATTTGTTATTGCGGACATGATTTCATGCAGTGCATTATGACTTGCTTCAGTTGTTTAGAAGAAAATCGTCGTGTTGGAATATGAGAACGGGTTTGAACATGTACCTCCATACGTATCTTTTTTTTTTTTGGTCAGTGGAGTGACCCTAGATTGCCCCAAGTTAGAATATCTGGAAATAGAATTCCATTGACATGGATGTTATTTCTTCTATCACTCACCTTCCTCTTGATGTTCTCCCACTCACTCTCTGGAGGTATAATTTTTGACAGAAGATGTACCTTGAACTGATGGGTGCAATCAAATTGATTTCAACTTACAGTGACTCCATGTGACACAGTAGAACTCCCGCATAGAATTTTCATACTGTAATCTTTATGGATGAGGCAATTATGGTGCAATGGCCTGCTTTCAAAAAGATTTACATCCTTCTAAACACAGTGGGACTTCTCTGTCCCATGGTATTCCTGTAAATACTACTCTTAATCTGTGATTAATTTCTAATTGATACAGTGGAAGCAGATTGCAAGATCTTTTCCTCTGTAAAACCGCAGAATGGGCATGAATTACTGGCCTTTCAGTTAGTAGTCAGGTGCCGCATCTTGTACCACCACTGCTCATTTTAGCCTGACTCGAGTAGAATTACTTTAAAAGAGCTTTTTGGGGTAGATTTTGAAGTGACAATGTCTCATCTGTATAGTCGTGCTTACGTGACCATTTCCAATGATGAGAATGAATATTTATTTAAAGTTAGGATTGAATTTTGCTCATATTTTAGGAAATTCGTGAATTTCTAATGTAGAATAATTTAACAAAAATAATTTCTTTTTAGTTCATATGTTGTGATTATGGGGCTAAAATGAAATTTTATGTCTCATTTTAATAAAAATAGTTTTGACTGTGCTTCCAAGTTTTTGCATTAATTTTTATGTAGTGGCTTTACCAGTTAGCATTTATGAATCCCCACTACCATCAAGTTGATGACTTATAGTGACTCTCCATTGGGCTTCAGAGGCTGTAAATCTTTACTGGAGTAGGCTGCCTATCTTTCTCATATCAGCTGGTGGTTTTGGACTGCTGATTTTTCAGTTAGCAGCTCAGTGCACTGTGCTGTCAGAGATTATGAGGATGACAGAGGATCAGGCAAGAATTTGTTTTGTTTTGGTTGCTATGAGTCAGAGTTGACATTGCTCTAACACCTGGATTTGTACAGTAGAGCATACTTTTCACATATTTTTCTTTCTCTGAAGACATTTTTATTTAATAGTTAATACAGCCAAGACAGACAGATAGTACACGGAAACCTGCAGAAGCCAGAATCTTTATAAAGCCTGTCAAAGAAGGGAAATTCACTTATTGTAAACTGATACAGAGTGACAGAAAAGTGGTCAGACTTAAACTCAGAGAAGAAAAACTTGTAAGACTTGTGCTGGCAAACAGTCCCATCCATGTTTAGTTTTCACTGAATGGCAAGTGATGATAATAAGGTGGAAAATGCAGCCACTAATAAACTTAATAAAATAAATAACTAAAACCAAGAATTGAGAGATTTTTTTTTCCTGTAACGTGAACGTTTCCCCCATAAAATTGAAAGACTACTACAATTAAATGTGTACAACACAAGATCTTGCACAAGGAAAATGCTCAAAAGTTGTTAATGAAAGGAATATATAATATATAATATACATTTAGTGAAATGCCCCATCCTATACTTTTTTTAAACTACGTAACAATTGTAAGTTAAAACCAGAAACTTCTATAAAGGTTTATTGGTTCTGATGTTTTTGTTGTTGTTGCCTTTGCATTTGTGCATATGTAGTCATCGTTGTTCTTTAAGTGGAGAGGATTTGAACAGACAATGGCAAAGTCCAAATCCAGATTTACATCCTACAATTTATCATGCAAAGGGGCTTTTGCAGTACCTGGCTGCAGTGAAGCGTCTACCCTTGGTAAGTGGCAATACTTGTTTATACTTTGCAAAACCGAATGTTTGAGTATTTTGTATATTTTCTGTTTATAAGCTAAGTGTTTATAATTTCAAAGCAATTTCTTTAAAATGTCTTTTTCCCCCTTATTATTAACCAATTGCATTCTTTGTATGGTATCAAATTAATGTACAAATAACATAATACATAAGATATCTAATGAAATTATATTTTTTATAAGATTAATTTTTTCAATAATGATGATGAATTTATTTTTTATTTTGGTATGTTTATTTTCTTTATCATAGTTAGGTAGAAAATACAGTATTGTTATAGATCTTTCCTAGAAAAGGTAAACTTTTAGATGGCATCCATGGGTAGTGTAAATAGTTCAACACTTAGATGCTGATTAAAGGCTGAAAATTTGAGTCCATCCAGAGGCACTGGATGAAAGGGCTGGTGATCTACTTTTGAAAAATGAGCCATTGAAAACTTTACAGCTTACAATTCCAGTCTGATGAAAAGGGGTCATCATGAGTCAAAGGGAACTGGATAAAAAAGATGTTGAGTTTTAAACAATGATTATTTTTATGATAGATATGCCTAGGAGTAGCTACTTGTTCACACAATGGTGAAGTGTATTTCTGAGTTATTTTGTTTACTTTTTAAGTTTTATTTATTTAAATGAAAGTTTACAGACTTTGATTTCCATTCATTCATTATTGCACAATTTCCTCCCTGCCTACCCCTCCACCCCAGTTCACTTTTCTTTGAAAAGTAAAAAAAAAAAAATTCTTTCACTGTTACACAGTTGTCTTCCCACCTCCAGTTCACTCCACTATTCAGCTTTCATTCTGGATTCTTGTCATGACAATAATCATATATTCCTCCTAAACAGTTCTCTTTCTCATCTGTTTCAATGTACATTATTTATCCCCTCTTAGTTTCCACCCAACTCTGATGTCAGTCTTGCTTTACAACAGTGGCACTATATTGTTGTTATGTGCCGTCGAGTCATTTCCCACTCATAGCGACCCTATGCACA